ACAGCCAGAGTATCGTCGTGAATGAAGCTTTTTACACGGTTACGTGGAAACATTAGCATAATTCATTTACATATTTCCTTATTTCAATCAACATTCAGAATGACTATTCGTTTCAAGAATTATTACAGCTTATTTAGCCATAGAATCAATTCTACGATTATTCTACGACTCTGACTGATTGCATGAAATAATATTTCAGTAATGAAGTAGCCGGAAATGCAAACACTCCAATTCTGAGTTAACATCATTTGCATCCACGTATCCGCGAATGGCGTTTCAAAAGAACAAAGTGAAAAAGAGACGGAAACAAGAAAAAAAGAGAGAAAGAGAGAGAGAGACGAGACAAAAAGTGGAAAAAGAAGAGAATTAAGACGAAAGCATGGACTGACGGTGGGGTTATGCTGTTTCGGTGCTGGGAGCTCGGTGGAGCAACTTCCGGAACCCCTAAGGAGGACTCCTCGGAGTCCGCTGGGCTGGTGGCGACCGTAGCCAGCTTGCCCCCCGCCCCGTCCAGCAACTTCCGGTGACTTCCGCCGATACCCCTGCAAGGATTCACAAAGCCATCCAAACTGGAAGAAAAGCTACACCACCTCCTCTCTTCCGCTTCTCGTTTCTTTCACCTATTCTCTATTTCCTCCGTGTGCTTTTTTTTTTTTTTTTTTTTCTCTTCTCATTTTTCTCGTATGCAGACACTTTGACAGCTCGAGGCCCTTTCGTTCGAATGATCGCCAAATAACCGAAAGCGCAGAGATTAGACCGCAGGTTAGATTATTAGCTTTGATCGCAGGTTTCGTTAAAAGCAGAGTCAAGTCGTTAATAATATAGGCGGCTGTGAAAGTGTCCGGCGAAATACATCTTCAATAGCATGACGAGATTGATTGGTAGCTCAAGATCGTCGTGCACGGGTCTAAAAATGGGATCGTTTATGGCACTTTTCCATAACAAAGAGCAGAAGCTTGAGCGACCAATTGCTTGTCCGTTATATAACTATCTATATCGGACGCACTCGTACATAACTCTTTACAGACATTTTAACTGACCCGTCTCTTGAATGCATTCCGTTAATATTCATTCACCATTCTCTCTTCTTTTTTTATATATATAATTTGCAAAAACACTGAAATTCAGAAATTTCAATTCGAACATCAGCGTTGAAAAATCCACTTAACGAAACACATTCTTGCTTCTAGCACGTTTTTGTCATGATTCAAATACAGTTGCTCTTCGATGAATTTTCTCATGAGAGAGACTTTGTTCTCGCATGATTATATATAACATTAAAATCGCGATGAAACGATAGCGCGATTCGAGTTAACAAACAAGGCGAAGCGTATGGTTTGTTTACAGTCGCTTTTTGAAAATTTACCACACGATATAGTTTTCGAATTTTTAGCGTCTCTAACAGGAAACTCACGTAACGAAGCAAAACGGTACACCATATATGTCGCAGCGAGCGTGTCTGTTGTGTTTGTCCAATTTATATTAGTTGCATGTCAAAAACCGTATATCGACGCGTTCGAAATGTCTGTGACGTTGAGTGTCGTTAATTTCAAGCATCGTTTCGAGGAAATATAAAAATATGACAGAAAAAAAAAACAAACAAACAAATACATTAAAAATATACGACGTATGGATAGAACTTACTTAAACATATAAATTAATTAATCATAGAAGAACCAACTTTCAACTCGACATATATTTTAACAAATTATTAATCGATTCTTCAAATCACAGAGCATTGTGTCATCCTACAATACGATACGATAGATTGTCGGTATAAAACAATATTTGTATATCCGAGAAATCGAGACCACGCGCTTGGCAACTGCAGACTGCTTCCACAAAACCTACCACGGCAATGCTACGACAGTTAACAAAGAGCAGGGTGAGAATAACAGATCGAACGTACAAATCATGAAACAGAAAAGGACTCGGGGATTTAAGAAGAAGAAGAAGAAAAAGAAAAAGAAAAAGAAAAACAATCATAAAAGAGAAAGTCGCTGATGAATGAAACCTACCTGAGGGTCTGAGCGGTCGTCGCGGAACGTAGCGAGGCTCTGGGGTTATCGGGCCTATGAAGAGGATCAGGAGAGGATACGGCTCTGGCCTGGTCGGCTAGTCGTAAAACCGGACTGATTTTACCTTTCTCGATACAGTCGCAGGTTTTCGAAATACTTCTCCAACCTGGTTGACCGATTCTCGGCTTTACAGTCGACGCCACTACGTTGTTCTGTTGTCCGTTCCGATCGTTCG